TATCATTATTATTGCATGTAAGTGTTGGGGTGGGCAAACGATGCAATTCATTCTGGGGTAATCTTAATGTTTAAGTAGTAATACTTACATTTTTAAAGTATAAAATCAACAGTCTTCTCCAAAGGCGAGATCTTCGAGCAGCTGCCCGACATATCTTTTGTGCAGATACTGCAAACGCTGAGGAAAACCATACTAGATTGTTGAGTTAGTGATGCTATGAGGTGTTAGTGCACCTGTCCCTCTTTTTTATTATTATTATTGCCGAACTTATTACATAAAAGATCAGGGAAAGATAGTTGTATCTAACAATAAACAATCATAATGGCATATATTATATTAGTGTTATATTACATCACTACTGTGTTATTCCTCTGTATGTCTGCACTATGTTTGTACTTTCTTCTGCACTGGAAGCTCCTGTCGTCACGTCAAATTCCTTGTGTGTGTAAACATACTTGGTAATAAAGCTATTCTGATCAAACAAAAATGCATGCGTTCATCATAGTATGAGATAATATACACAGAAAAAAAGCACAGTGACAAGGTTAAATATATTTGAATAATTCATCATGATGCTTTTTTAGAAGCCTGAGGGATGAAACGAGAGTTAAATTCAACAAGAAAAAGAATAAAACAAAGGAGATTTAAGCCACTTGTGGATAAAACATTTTGCACAAAATAATTAACAAGATATTCAAGAGATAGCGATTTTGGGTTTTCGTAATACATTTTTTAAAAATGCTTTAAGGATCAAACTGGATCACATTAGCGGAGTTAAAAATGTAAGAACTTAAATCAACCCAAAATGTATTGGCTATACTACAATCACAAAAAAAAGGGTAGCTGTTTTTTCAACAAGGCCACAAAATGGGCAAGTTTCATCATTATCAAGATACTTACAGATAGATGAATTAAACTTGTCACTCATATCTTTTAAGTTGTTGCGCTTGTTATAACGTCGTAGGTCACATGATAACGTCAACACAGCGGATGATATCCGAATCGCATTCATACTTAACGCATTCAGGCTATAAACTCTCATAGCGCTCGGTGAGTAAGTACTTAAAGAAAGTAAGTGCTTTTAACTAAGAAAGTATGCGGTTTCGAACGCAGCCCGACAACATCTCGTTTTGACATCTCGCGTGGTTCTGTGTGATTTGGACAACTTCAAGTTACGCCCCCTTCAAGTTACGCCCCTGTCTTGCAGTCCGCAGACAGACCCTTCTCCGTTTGATAGGAAAATTGCCTATATTTAAATCTGTATAATGCTTCAAAGGAATATTAGCAGCCCCTGCGGGCGCTGTGGATAATAACACAGACTCATCTTGGTGGACCGTCAGAAGTGACACCCATCCTTGAATCGGATTTTTTTTTTTTTTTTTTTTTAAAAGTGTCCATTGATAAAAAAAAAAAAAATAGACAACATCTCGTTTTGACATCTCGCGTGGTTCTGAGTGATTTGGACAACTTCAAGTTACGCCCCCTTCAAGTTACGCCCCTGTCTTGCAGTCCGCAGACAGACCCTTCTCCATTTGATAGGAAAATTGCCTATATTTAAATCTGTATAATGCTTCAAAGGAATATTAGCAGCCCCTGCGGGCGCTGTGGATAATAACACAGACTCATCTTGGTGGACCGTCAGAAGTAACACCCATCCTTGAATCGGATTTTTTTTTTTTTTTATTAAAAGTGTCCATTGATAAAAAAAAAAAAAATATGTAGCCTAATAATTAAAATTGAGTAAAACTTAAGAACTCCAGAAGTTTAGGGGTGAAAGAAATATCTTTTTTTTTTAGTTATTTTAGAATTTGTTTGGGTTTTTAAAGAACTTGAACAGCTTCTCTTTGAATCGACTCTTGGACGACTCGGACATGACTGAAGTGTTGATTGTTCAGAGAGCACGAGTTCGATTCAAGACTCGTATAATTTGATTTCAGAATCATTTCGACTATTAAAATAGTATTAAAAAAGACCTGTAAAGGTCCTTTATCGCCAAGAAATCCTTTGAATTGTATTTATAGTGCCACTCATTTCTTGTTGACGAATCGATTGCAATGATGAATGTAACGTTACATTTTGAAATTGTTGGCTATGTAGCCTAAACAATAACCTATGGCCCTATGTGTAAGATAAAAGAAGTAGGGCTATTTGTCCAGTAAATATTGAGATATTAAAAAAGCATACTGTCACCATGCAAAACGATTAGGACTGTATTGTTGTTACAACACCTCCTGTTGGTAAGCTAAATAGCAACCATTATGTCTTTTCAGTTATTCACTGCGTCCATTTGAAGCAGGGAGTCATTAAGTTAATTCAGTGTTCAATTACGTGCGTTTAATATGTAATATAATACAAGCTGCTATGTACTTTGATATCACTAGGCCTATTACACCCAGAAAAATGTACGTTAGTGAATAACACAGATGATTTATGGTTTAGGAGATTGTTCATTTTCCTCTATAGCCCCATGGGCATCACAACACCTGTTTCTTTCATGTTGTTGTTGTCGTCAGAATATCTTCTGTGTTGAATATACACAAAACATTGCATTGAGTCACAGACCTTCACCTTTTTTCTGCTGATAGATATCTCAACTCTGAGCAGCCATCCACCACCAGCAGGTGTTCATTTCCACAGGCAGCACAGCTGAATCATCGTCTCTATAGAAACAAACACTAAAAAAAAGTGTACCTCCTGTCACACTATATATTCAGCTGCATGGGAAACTTTAATCAGGGAAATAACCTACATTTTTGTCCAAATTTCAATTGTTTTAAAGGAAATAAATGTATTTGTCTGTGTTGTCTTTTTGAGATAACTGTGTTTATTGAATCTGGGGGTGAAATTGGTTTGTTTTGCAAAGGTTTTCAGGACAATGGCCTACTGAATAAATAAAGGAGTGATTTTAGTGACTAACGCTGTTTGTAAAAATATAAAGAAAGCAGGACGTGTGCCTCCTGGGATAAATGACCAACTGTGCTGAGTGAATGAAGGAAAAAAAATTAAACAACACACACACTATATATAAGTGTACCTTTGTACTTTTTCACAAGGGACCCAAAGCTTCATTGCATTCAACAAAATTTAAATAAAAAAGAGATTATTCGATTTGAATACATCACAAAGCCTGTTATGCTGTCTATCACAGACCAGGTTTTAAAATCAGTATTATTATGATTATGAAATGAATCTGAAATGGAGTTGTGAGTGGTCATATGACCCAGAGGAAAACAATGTCAGCTGGGTGAACTAATCAGCTTAAGTGCTGTAAAACTGGTTTGAATGTATCTCTAAAAGTAAAGTTTTTAAAATGCAGCTCTGTATTTACCCTTTTATAACTTTCCTGGAATAACACTGTCAAATCCAATTCGCAATATATTATAGTTTTTAGAAGGCCCAGGGTGAAGGAATATAAATTCAGGTTGCTTTTTGCAAGAGAAACTGAAGAAACTATTTTCTTTTATTTCCTTTACATTTGATTCAGAACTAAAGTGCAACTAAAAAGTCATCTGTGTATTTCTTTAAGGCACTAAAATATCATAAAATGCAATAAAATCATCAATCCCTGCATGTCAGCAGTCATTCCTCACAACATATATTGATGTCAAGAGGATAGTTAAATTACAGCTGCTGATGTGCACAACAGTTAAGCGCCCCTTTCCAAATGAACCGTGGCAGGTTTAAATGATCAGTCGTCAATGAGGTTTTACAGTAGGAGAATGACCAATGTCAGCACTAACCTGGATTTTATTGACCTTAAGGCCATAAATAAAAGCTGAGACTAAGTTAGAGTGGGTAGTAAATCTATACGGCTCAGTTTTGTAGATTATCTGTGGTGTCCTCCTTCCACTCACTCTTCCACTCAGTGTCAAACAGCAGATCACACTTTTTATTGACTAGTTCATAAATCTGGAACAGCAGAACCGGGACTAGGTCACCACTAGGTGGCGATAGGACACTTTAAATAACTGTTCTGTATATGAACTTTGTGGCGCAGACAGGGTGATAAATAAAAACCACATTATCACATTACTACAAATCTATTGTTAAAATGACACGTTGGCCAAATCATCTAAAAAATATTTTGTTGTATTTTTCCATGATATCATGATAAGCATCCTCCACTCAAAAAAAGACTCAATAAACACAGAATATCTGTCAAATGCGTCACGCTCACGGGGCCTTTAAAAAACACAGTAACATCCCTTGGCAGGTGGTGGATGAAGATCCTGCATAGCTGAAGAGAAAGTCATAGGTTCAGAACTTCACACTTCGGGTTTAGTGATTACCGGTAGGCAGTGTAAAGCTGACCACAGTAGTAAACTTCCTTCCATCTGCTTTTTGAGAAGCAATATAACAATTAGCAGCATATTTGCCCAACCACAACCTTCACGCAACAATAAAACTTATAAATAGCCATGATACATATTGAAAGGCAGTCCAATGCGGTGAGATACACTTCATAAAGTCTCTGAATGCGGAGTATTGAGTCGTTGCATGTAATTATTGATGTTTTGAGCTCACTTATTAGTCACTGATGGAAGGTCGATGTATATGAATTAATGCTACACAATGCAATAAGTGTACTAACCAGTTTGGTCATTAGGGTGATTAATGACGCTATAAATCAAAATTATAACCAGAAAATGATAGCCTGTTTATTCATCCTGGCATCAAATGCAGTGTTTGGTGAATTAATTAAATGAAGAACGGAAGTAATAGAATATTCATTTTCTATTTTTTCTTCTTTCTCTTCCTCACGTTATCATTAATATCAATTTCAGTAAATTTAATAAAATCATTTCTTATTATAAATGAAATGTTCAATCGCAAAATATATAATTATTTATATTTATGCTGGATTTTGAAAAAAGTATTTTATAATTGTATTTATATTATATTTTAAAAATATAACTGAATATGCTTAAATAAAATAAAAACCACTGAAAAGGGATAATAAACTAAAACAAAATAGTTAGGAGGCTATTACTTTTACTTACATTTCAACAAAATGTTACAGTATTGTTTAAAACCCACATACAAAATAATACAAAGTTAGAGTCCGGCCATTTTATTTGATGATTATTTATTTTATTATATTTATTGTTGCTTTAAAGATTTATAGATACAGCCAATGGCTACACTAGGATCACAATGAGAGAGAGAGAGAGAAAATGACAATTGATAAAGACATAAAAAGAAAACATTAGAATGTTTACAAATATTAACACTGAATATTTGATGTTTATGGAACTTCCCCAATAATAATTAATTGTAAAATGTCAGCAGCCAATCATCGAACTCCGTTCCTCCACCGCCAGTGACGTAACTGCCACAGCTCTTTCTACGCTCACCTGAGAGACCCGTTTCATCCAAAGGCACGCGCGCGTTTGCGGAGAGTACAACTGCAAGCCCTTTAAACTGATGTGACCCATTCCGAGCGTGAGTCACCCGACTGCACATTCTCTCACTCAGTGAATACCGGGTTGCGGAGAGAGAGAGAGAGAGGAACGGCAACTTTTTAGCAGAAAGCGTGCAGAAGCTCCCCGCCGCATCTCGAGACTGCTGGCATCCGCCAGAAACAGCGCGCGCGTATCCAGCGAGACGGACCGTTAAAAGATGTGATTATTTTCCCTTTCTGTCTCCGACAGGTGTCTTTATTTTACAGGTGAGTGAGCGTTTGTTTTATTTCTGAGCGTTTAGAGTGTGACAGCACTTAGGTTCAGGTTATTCCTTTGGGAAATTGTTACTAAAAATGTAGTTGTTTCGAACTATTCCGCTGAACTAGCTTACTTTTTATATATCTATACTATAAACATAAACATACTTGTTATTTTGTTTTTGCTAAGAATGTTAGTTGAGGTGTTTTCATGGAAATATGAGGACGCTGTGCTTTTAGCTGTTGACAGTATGAGTCATTGTAAATATGTAGGTTTCCATGAAACTCAGGTAAGAAAAGCTTGTGTTTGGTTTTTGTTCAGTTTAGTAACGTAATGTTTGGAAATGTGGGCCCGTTTATCTCTAAACACCTGTAAAGGGTTTTTTTTCTTGGGATAAATCCATTTGAGTGATTTGACAGTAAGTGAGTGGGCTTAATTTCTGAGAAAGATTAAGCTCTCCAGGGACATCCAAAAAAAAAACGTTTTTAAGGACTATAAGTGAGGACATTTAGTGTGCCAAGTGTTTTTGTTGCTGCACTTAAGTGTTTACCTTTAGAAGTGCATGTAATGAAAATAAAAGGCAATGTGAAAGTCTGTTTATCAGGTGTTTTAAAGAGGAGATACTGTATGTAGTTAAACAGCAACATACATTGACTGAATCCTTCTAGAATGACAGCAAGTGCAACAGTTCCTCAGTCTCTCATTGTTTGCAGTGACCTATAGTGCTGCTCGGTGCACTTCAATTGCTTTGATAACAGTAAGGGTGAATCCCATATTCTCTAGTTCTGCCGCTCTCTCCCTCACAACCTTAAAAGCTACCTCCTAGAGGAGTAGCGTTTAAGTACACCAACAATAAATCACTTCTCCAGCGTCCGCAGCCTACCAGGCTTAATCGAGTTTATCAACCACTCCCTTGAGAACGCTGTCTAAAGTTAGACTTGTCACCGCAGTGCACTCAGTGTAGGCTGACTCTTTGATGATTCGCCTCTTCTGGTACATCGCCACAAAAGTGCTGTCTAAGTCAGAGGCACGAGGACCGTTTAGAGTTGCCCTCTTTCTTTTATCCATGGCTTTGTCATACACAGTGAGTGGTGAATTATTGAGGCTTCTACAATGCAAGGAAACTAGTGATATCATTGTTGTTGCAGTGTGTGTGGCTGTGATTTTCAAGTGTCATTTGTTCTGAGTAGCTTGTCTTGGTTTATAAAGGATTTGTATCTTTGTGTTTTGTGCACTAATAGTGGGTTCTGTGTATAGAATCAGAAGTCTTTTAAATAGTCATAAGTCCATAAATCCTACAATATCTTATTCGATATGCAAATTTGATGTTGACGATGATAATCAAAACTTGTTGCATACAAGTCATTCTAAAATGATTCCAATTTCACGTCATAGTGCATGTCTTTTTGCTGTAAAAACGTTTCATAATGTAAATGTAAGAAAACATTTATTTAGTTAGTAAAATTTCAAGATGAGCATTTACTGGATTTACATTGTAAGCTAATTGATTTACAGTACAAGAATTTCTTAGAATTCCTTTCAGAAATCTTACTTTTTGTTTATATAAATAACAGCAGCTTCACCAAATTGCATATTTTTGCACATTTTTGTTTGGGCATTTAAATAAAATTAATGTTTTTTCCTCCCCAAGTATGAGCCCCATATTCTCACCATGTGAGCCATGAAAGCATGATATATGAAATATGATACAAAACATAAAGCACTTATGCAACCTTTTTTTGTAGATTTAAAAATATATATTTTAAATATTGTCTAAAGATTCAATAAACTCTTCAATTTGAAACAGAAAAATTCTGACCATTATTTCATAAATCAGGCTTTACATGCTTAATATTCTAAATAAAGGTTGTCTTTTTACTCTGCAGAAGAACAAAGATGAGAATTAACTATTCTGAAGCCACTTCGATCCTCATCATCCTTCAGACGCTGTGGTGGGGCTTGAATAGTCAATGTGAGGAACCAATAGAAAGCTCCAAACTCGACCTCTCTGTGACCTATGACCTCCCTCACTTTGTGTCTGACACACCCGTCCAGAAGCTGTTGGAATTCAATGGAACTGTGTATGTAGGTGCTGTCAACAAGCTGTACGCTCTGTCGAAAGACCTCAAGAAGATACACGAGTATAATACCGGACCTGTCCATGAGGGTCATGACTGCAGTGCACCAGATCCATGCAGTGGTTGCAAAAACAAACCCCTCAACAAGAACAACACCAATATGGCCCTGTTGATGGAGACTTTCTATGATCTTGAGCTCTTCAGCTGTGGTTCGGTTGGGAACGGCGTCTGCCATCGTTACCTGTTAGAGGATGGACCCCTGGATGCGGAAATTAGTTGCATGTATTCAAAGAAGAACAAAGACAGCAGCTACGGTTGCCCAGACTGCCTGGCAGGACCTTCAGGCACTCAGATCCTAAACGTGATGAGCAGCGGCGTCGTGAGGTTCTTCGTCGCAAACTCTGAGGTTCTTGACTCGACCGTCCCGCGTCTCCACCACACTATCTCCGTTAGGAAGATGAGAGAAACTCAAGACGGTTTTGAGTTCTTTTCCAAACAGTCCTACATGGACTTGGCCCCAGGGCTGCGTGGAAACTACCCGCTGCACTACGTCTACTCCTTCCAGAGCGGCCCATATATATATTTTCTCACTGTCCAACGAGAAGGTGGCAGCTCAAACGCCTTCCACACAAGGATCGTACGCATGTGCTCTTCAGATCCTGAGATTTTGCGCTACGTTGAAATGCCCTTCGAGTGTATTTACTCCGAGCGAAGAAGAAAGAAGCGCTCGGCTCAGGTGGTTTTCAATGTTCTCCAGGCTGCACATGTGGCAAAAGTCGGCTACGACTTTCAGCAGGAGATGGGCCTGAAAGAAGGAGAGGACGTGCTGTTTGCTGCCTTTGCCCGGAGCAAACCCGACTCACCGGAGCCCACGGCCAGTTCTGCCGTTTGCCTTATCTCCATCACAGACATCAATAACTTCTTCAGGGATTTCATGCAGAAGGGATACACGAGGAAGCTCAGTCACTTTCCAGGATCAGAGGATAAAAACTTCAACCAGGTAAGAGCTTTCAACCAAATCATGCATTTTCTCCAATCAGTTTTAGCTAGGGTGGCCATATGGTTCATACGGGACACGTCCTGGCCAGGACTTTTATATTGTCTAAAACATCCAAAGTAGTTTGACCAATAACATGTAGGGATTGTATATAATTGACCAATCGTGGCACGTGAGAAGGTGAGATCTACAGATAACGATCAAAGCGATGCAAATATGCGCAAGTGTTTGTTCGTTCGTTCAACTTGAAGTGTCACTGCTCACCGATCATTGAATGACACCAAAGTACCGCGAGAGCGATTCGAAAGCATAAGGATCCATCTGCTCTGCTCTCTATAGCTCTCGTGAATGTCATACAACGATCGATCTGCACGGTGCAAACAGCCAAATCCTGGATATTTTAGGCAATATAGAAATCCTGACATGGACGCGTCCCGTAAAAATGGCCCGTATGGTCACCCTAGTTTTAGCTAACAGGATATTTGCTGACCCTTTCAAACTGTTGCCCATCCTAGAACAAATTTGACTTCTTGTCAGCCCAATTGCTTGGCCATCATAAATCACTGAACCTGCTTGTCTTTTTTACTTATCCATCACCATTCGTTGGATCAATCGGTAAATCATGCTGATCAATAAATGACACAAATTTAACTGCTGACGACTCCCTGAGGGCCCGTCGATAATGCAGGGCTATTACTTCCCAGGGTTCATTACACAACATAATCATACATCGCTCAGATCTGCATAGTAAGACACATGATTAGAATACATAAAGGCAAAGTATACAGAGAACTACTAAAGCTGGATAGCATGGCACACAGTAGGTGAATGGGAAAAATTGTCCAAAGCTATGGAACAAACTTAGGCTGGGTATCAATACAAATTTAAGGTGTGTCCCGAATTGTGTAGTTATGCACTATTCTGCTTTTTCATTTTAATATAATTAGGTTTAAATGTTAATTTTGCTTGCATAAGAAAGGAGTTTCTGTCAGTTTATGAGTTCTGTTAGCTGATTCTGTAACCTACCTAAAAAAAAATTCTGTAACCTACATAATGAAAAACAACATTTATTTATTACATTTATTAAAAAAATTAACAAGAGGGACTGTGCAGTTCAGCTGGTGCCTTTTTAACAGATATAATAACTCTCTGCTCTACGAAATGAGGTACATTTTAAATGTTCTTTCTTGTGTAAAACCCTTACACAAAAAAATAGATAAATATAGATAATATATATAGAGTGTAAAAAAATATAAAAATCTATAAACTCTTGAGCACTTCAGTCAAAAACTCAAAAACTTAGATTCAAATAAGGATCACGATTAATCTGATAATCCTTATCATGACCCTCCATTGCTTGTTTTTCTTGTTCACTCAAACTTTTTATTGCATAACAATCAGCTAATATTTACAATCAGTGTATTTGGTAATTATATTGATGTGTAGATGTATATCCATTTGCAGATAGCTGTATAATTTTCTTTGATAGGAAACCTAGATTTGCTTGAGGTTCATGTGAATCAGGCTTGTTTGACAAGTTTTACTCACTATGCCTATTCTCTACATTTTTCTGTTTGCTTGAGTGTTGTCTTATCAGAGTCCATATAGCGGGGAAGCCCAGATCACTACTCAGCAGGTGTTCTTCAACTGTCTCTAACAGTCTTTGTACTGGTCACTTTAGCAGTTCATATGGGCCAGACCGGAGTGGCTGGCCTCTTCTCAGAGTCACACAGCTCTCCAGTCTGGTGTGGTTGTTTCAGTGCCCTGAACTTTATCTGGCCAAACTCACAAAGTGCACTCAGTCATTTATTTAAGCAGAAGATCTGCAGACTGAAGCACTCAAGGCATTTTAAATATTTTTGTTCTGTGGATCCTTGATCCAAACATCTGCTCAAAGTCAGCTGGGTTTCTATCAGTTTTCATTAAGCGGACGTAAAATAGCTTAAATGGCTTTTAAAGCAACTAGTCAGTTGGAAAATATTTCCCTAGGCATCTTCGAAGAAATGTTTGAAAGGTCTGAACATCTTTTGAAAGGGATGTGTGCCTGTTTTCAATACGGTTTTTGTCCATAAATGTGTGAATGCGTGCATGTGTGCATTTGTTTGTTTTGGGTGTGTGTGTCTGAGTGTGCGTCTATGGCAGACGACAAATCATGGTGCCATCGTTGAGAATTATGATACCAGTAGCATATGTTATGCAGAGTCTGTCTTATCATCCCATAAAGGGGCAATTGACGCAGTGTCATAAAACAATTACATTGTAAAAAGGCATGATAAATTGATCCCAATATCTTGTTTTTGCTCTTAGACAACCCACTCCACAAACCAGACTCCAACATCTCCTGCCTTTATGTGGAAACATTGGGCGTCTGACACTGTTCTTCAGTTTTGATTGAATTTAGCCTTGCTTTCCTGTTTTATTTGTTAATGTGGAGCCAAAATTATTTGAATATCATATCAGATAAATCGCCAAAGTCCGTAATAGACTCTTACCCTTCGAGAAAAAGACACCACAGCTTGCAGACTTCACCCAAGCTCTTAAAATTATCTATTGGACAGTCTGCTCGAGCTCAGCAATATTCGTTAATAAAACAGACAGAAATATAGTCCTTATTGTTTGGAATAATGGATATATCTGAGTTGGAACCACCCCAAGAGCAGAGAGGAGGGGGACACTTGAGACCGGCAATAACAGACATTTAAGGTCAAAATTATCATTAGATTACAATTGATCAGGGGAACAACTGGAAAATGTTGATTACTTTAAAATTGAATCTGAGGCTTGATTGATTGCCGCCTGTAATATAATTCCTGAAGAGGGAGTTTTGATCGACAGCCATTTTAATTATTACTGCCACTGTGGCTAAATGAACATGCTTTGAGATGGCAAGTCTTAAAGTGTAAGGAAAAGCAAATAGGCAGTGCATTGATTTTAACTTACTTTGTGCACTTTTTCCCACATCTTTCTGACTGTGAATAAGCAAATATCAATGTAAATCAGATAGTTTTAGCTCTTTGTACCTCACTCAATCTTTTGAATTATAGTGTGTTTTGGTCATGTAAAAACAGGGTGACACGCTAATACACTGTACTTAGCACATATAAAAAGCGTACATGCTGCTGCCTGCTTATGCAAGATGTGTTTGTGCAAAAACGGCAAAACCTAGATCATTTATAGGCCACGGTCTCAGCTCTGGGAGGTGCAAAATCATGCTGAAAGACAGTACTTGTTGTATCCTGTCTGAGAAGTTGTGATAAGCTACCTGCATGGTTGCGTTTCTATGTGTATGTACGCATTTATAAGAAATGTATTTTATGTGGGTGAGTTGAGGTTTGTACTGAGGAATTCAGTCACCCTGAATCATTTCTGGCAAAAGCACAAAAATAGGCACGTACACATCACAGACAAACAGCTCTGACCAGGGGGCAGGTGGAGATGTGCAGCTGTGTGCTTTCTCAAAATGTCAAGCCCCTGCTGTGAGCTCATGTTGGCAGCTTTGCCCTGGCGGGAAACTTGCGTGACTTTGGACCATAATGTTAGCTAGAGGAGACCGGACAGCTGGCATCCAGGTGTGAACTGTTCATCTCATCTACATCTGGGGATGAGAGCACATATGGGGATGTATCTGACTTTTATGTCCTTATTTTTGCTGTTCCAACTTTTCTCAAGCTAAAAAGTCTACTTAATATTATATTAATATTGTAGAATAATACAATTAATATTAATTTAATAATATGAAAAAAAATGAAATATGAAATTTTTTTACTTTTTAAATTATATAAAATTATTTAAATTATATTAAAAAATATAATTCATAATATAATATAAAATATATAACTCATATAATATAAAAGTGAAATATAACCATTACAAATTTGTGTGTATAAATTTATATGTAAACAGATTACTTTTTTAATTATATCAATATATATATATATATATATATATATATATATATATATATATATATATATATTCGTATTTATTCATATTTATTTATATTTATAATATTTAGTAATTCTATTATATATTTAATATTATTTTTCTCTACATTTTATGAGTATCATATTTACATATTATATTCATTTATACATTTTATAATATTATTTAAGGTAACACTTTATTTCGATAGTCCACTTTAGACATTCTATTAACAGTAAGCAACTTTGCAGCTACATGTCAACTAGCAGTTAGTAGAGTATTAGTAGACTGTCTGCTTAATATCTTCTAACTCTTTCTTTGTCAACTTATTCTACTAACCCTAAACCTACCCGAACAGTCTACTCTGAGAGTTAGTAGACGTGTAGTTGCAAATTAATGAGAATTAGTTGACATGTAGTTGACATGTAGTTACAAAGTTACTTATAGTTAGTAGAATGTCTAAAGTGGACTATCGAAATAAAGTGTAACCTTATTTAATTATAAAATATATTAAAATGTTATATTACTGGTCTTTTTTAAATAACTCTACCAAGAAGCTACAGTTTTTCAGCACTGATGTGCCTGTGTGTCTTAAATACTCCCATAAAACAGCACACAACTTATAAAAGGCTGCGCTCACAATCTGTTATTCGAGAGGAACTTCACATGCAAACAAACATGCGATTGGCCAGTACTCTACTGTTTACTCCAGGTTTATTGCACTACAGCTTTTTTCTTTGTTATTGTGATGACTGGCACATATTTAACACAGCCTTCAGGTTTGAAAAACTTGTCGGTGCTCTCTGGGCATAATTCAGAAACTGTGTAAATTGCAAAAATGTGTAAGTGTCATGTGAAGGGAGAGATTGCTTTGGTGAGGCTGATGAGTCAGTGGCCCAGAGGCATGCTGATCCATCTCTGGCATCCACCATACCTTCACTTCCTAATTTTTTTTACTCCCTCTGGTAATTTCCAGCTCTCCGGGTCTGTGAGCACGAGGTTTCATCAAAGAGCTCAATTCTGAAACCTCCATGTAAGGTTAAAGACATCCTGACCAGGTGTAAATCAAATACCCGCTGAAG